TAGACTTTCATTCTCATTCTAAAACTCTCTGTAAACTCATATCACCGTATGACTGACTATATATTGCATATTCAACCTTATGTTGTCAAAGAATATGGAGTTTTTCCCATGATCTTGTTATCAGCTACAATATCCAACAAGAGGAATCTGTGACCTTCAAAGGGGACTCCAACACCCTGAAACAGGCCTAACTTGGCCTTTGTATTGATGACAAGTCACTGGAACTGGAATTAATATGAACATTAATAATGTTTTAATCTGCACCACTGTGGCATTAAGAGACAGAGAGGATGATGATAGAAAATAGAGATTGTGGGATGATGACTTCCTGTTTACAGCTACTAAACACCAGTTGTGTACACTGAGTGACAACAGGGTATATTCATTTTCTCAGCAGGTGTCACTGTTCTGCCATTTTTCACTAAGAAGGTATAAATGAACAACTTGGAGTTGAATTTGAATGACAGAAGATCAGCAGATCCTAATTTAAGGCCAAGAAACTCAAAACAAATATGTTACTGGCATTTCTCAACAATTATAGTCATTGAATCTGGTCTCCAACTAAAGTTTCTTCAGACTTAAAGAGTTGAAGTTGCTCTGCAGCTGATATTTTTCAGTAGTTTGATCACTGTAACTGGTCTGCAATCTGAAATACAATCTGAGCATGAGATCATTTATCGTGTCTGTCATGATCTCTAGCTGGAGTGCCCGTGAGCTTCGCTAGAGTAGGGTGACCATACGTGCCATTTTCCCAGGACGTGTCCTGGCCAGGATTTCTATATTGCCTAAAATATCTAGGTTTTGGCTTTGTTTGCGTGTGCAGACCGATGTATGACATCAAAATACCATACAGATGGTTCCTTATGCTTTCAAAATGTTCTCGAGGTATTTTGATGTCATACACCGATCGGTCTGCACACGCAAACAAAGCCAAAACCTAGATATTTTAGGCAATATAGAAATCCTGGCCAGGATGCGTCCAGGGAAAATGGCACGTATGGTCATCATACGCTAGAGGGCACTCCATCCCAGACTTCTACCACTCCATCAAAGACCTCATTTCCCATAATCCTTTGCCCGGACTCATCAACACTCACTATTTGCACCTGTGTCTCATTTACCCTGTCTGCTCACCCTACATAAGTCTGGTTTAGGTTGTTATTCTTTGCGAAGTCTTGTAAGTGTTACACTGCATCTCTGAGCGTCTCTCCTGTTTATATGTCTCTTGGTTCTTGGACTCTTTGCCTGTGTTCTCTGCCTTGTTGTTTAGTTGGACTGATTGCCTGTATGTTGACCCTTGGCTGCTGTCTGATTTCGATTCTGGACTTTCCTAATAAACACTGGATTTGGATCAGTTCCGTAACAGTGTTCATGCAGTCCTTATTTGCAACTGTGTCATTTGGCTCACCAATTCATGAATTGAAGGGTTAGTTAACCCCAAAATGAAAATTATGTCATTAATTACTCACTCTCATGTCGTTCCAAACCCGTAAGACCTTCGTTCATCTTCGGAACACAAATTAATTTATTTTTGATGGAATCTGAGAGCTTTTTA